GGGAAGCTCCCTTTAGACTGCTTGTCTTTTCAGTGTGTATTCTGTCACCAACTGATGAGATTGAGGGAAAACCTAGAGGAAGTTTGAGAGGAATAAAGAAATAATGATCTAGGAAAGTATTCATTCTTATTCATTTGTTTTTTACTTGAAATGCCTGCGATCTATCCTATTTGAAATAGTTGGTCCAAATTTAATTATATTTTTCCTCCCAGAAATCAAAATCTATTTTTTTAAAAGATTTTATTTATTTATTTGACAGACAGAGATCACAAGTAGGCAGAGAGGCAGGCAGAGAGAGAGAGGAGGAAGCAGGCTCCCCGCCGAGCAGAGAGCCCGATGCGGGGCTCGATCCCAGGACCCTGGGACCATGACCTGAGCTGAAGGCAGAGGCGTAATCCACTGAGCAACCCAGGCACCCTTCAAAATCTATTTCAATTAGGCTCACTTCTTACATTCAGTCCTCTTCATTTTTACAGGTCACTGCTCATTTAGAAAACACAGAATTTGTCCTCCCAACTGTGATTTCACAAACCTGTAAATTCAGGCACAGTCTTAGATTCCAGGTTTCTTTCCAAAGTGCATCCATCAATTCACACAGGATTCACCACACTCCCAGTGAGGGTCATGAAACTCAGGGTTCCTCCTTGATAGCTGCGAGCCATTCCAGCATTCTCTAACCCCACAAAAATAAATCATTAACACTGTTTAGATAGGACCAAATTACAATGCAAAACCATACTCCTACTCAGGTGAGACTTATGTTCAGAGTCTGAACTTAGAGGAAGAAGACTTGAAAGCTGCTTAAGTCTATGTAAGATTTAATCCCATCATCATTTACTATTAACTTGATATCAGACAAGTCAAATCACCTATCTCAGATAAACCAACTAAAAAAATAGAACAAGGAAAAACTTGTACAACACCAAACAAATAAGAACCAATACGGCTTATCCCAGAAGTAAAAGATTGGTCCGACATCTGAAAATCAAGTAATACATCTTATTAAATAGGAAAAAAAGACAAAAAACACACAATAATCCTAATAAATTAAACAAAAATTCACAAAACTAAACACATTTTCATGATAAAAACACTCAATAAACTAGTAACAGAGGGTAACTTCCCCAAACTAATAAAGGGCATTTAGGAGCCCTTTATTAAAAGCCTTTATTGGGGGGTGCCTGGGTGGCTCAGTTGGTTGAGCAGCTGCCTTTGGCTCAGGTCGTGATCCTACAGTCCCAGGATCGAGTCCCACATCAGGCTCCCTGCTCAGCAGGGAGTCTGCTTCTCCCTCTAATCTCTCTCCTCTCATGCTTTCTGTCTCTCACCCAAATAAATAAATGAAATCTTAAAAAAAAAAAAAAAAAGCCTTTATTGGGGGACGCCTCGGTGGTTCAGTCGGTTAAGTGTCTGCCTTCTGCTCAGGTCATGATCCCAGCGTCCTGGGATCGAGCCCCACATCAGCTTCCCTGCTCAGGGGGGGAGCCTGCTTCTCCCTCTGCCTGATACTTCCCCGGCTTGTGCACTCTTCTCCCTCTCTCTGACAAATAAATAAATAAAATCTTTAAAAAAATTAAAAAAAAAAAAAAAAAGCCTTTACTGCTGCTCCTGGGTAGCTCAATGGGGAAAGCATCTGACTCTTGATTTCAGCTCAGGTCATGATCTCAGGGTTGTGAGATCAAGTCCCATGTTAGGCTCTGTGCTGGGTGCAGACCCTCCTTAATATCCTCTCTCTTTCTTTCCACCCCCCCACCCTATGACCCTCACCCCTCACCTCTCCACCTCCCTCCCACAGCTCATGCAATTTAAATCTCTCTTAAAAAAAAAAATCCTTTATTAAAACCCACAGCTAACATACATAATGATGAAAGACGAAATGCTTTTTCCCCCAAGATCAGAAACAAGACAAGAGTGTCACTCATCATTCCTATTCAATACGGAACTGGATGTTCTACCCAGGGCAATTAGACAAGAAAAAGGCATTCAGAAGGAGAGAAAAAACTATCTCTATTTGTAAATGAGAAGATCTTACATGTAAAAAAAATCCCAAGAAATCCTCTGGGAAACTATTAAAATAAAAAAGAGTTCAGAAAGGTTGTAGAATACAAGATCCATATACAAAAATCAATTACATTTCTATATACTTGCAACGAACAACTTGAAGATAAAATTAACAAAACAATTCTATTTGGAACAGCACCAAAAAGAATAAAATACTTCGGAATAACTTTAACAAAATAAGTACAAATTTTATGCTCTGAAAATTCAGAACATCAAAAGAAATTAAAGAAGACTCGAATATAAAGATATCCCATGTTCATGAATCACAAGGCAATAGCTCTCAAATTGATCTACAGATTCAATGCAATCCCTATGAAAAAATTTCAGCTAGCTTTTTTGCAGGAGATAATCTTAAAATTCATATGAAAAATGAAAGGGTCTCACAATAGCAAAACAATCTTGAAAAAGAAGAACAAAGTTGGAGGACTCATACTTCCCAACTTCATAACTTACTACAAAGCTATATTAAGATAGATTGGGGAGGCCTGGGTGGCTCAATCGGTTAAACGTCTACTTCAGGCTCAGGTCACGATCCCAGGTTCCTGGGATAGAGTCCCACCTCAGACTCCGAGCTCAGGGGAGTCTGCTTCTCACCCTGCTTGTCGTTACCCCTGCTTGTGCATGCTCTTTCATGCAATCTCTCTCTGACAAATGAATATATAAGATCTTAAAAAAAAAAAGATAGATTGTACCAATATAATGATAAACAGAGATTAATAGAACAGAACATTCAGAAATAAACCCCTAGATCAATGGTCCACTAATTTTTGACAAGAGTGTCACATCAACTCAATAGGGCAAATAATAGTTTTTTTGAACAAATGGTGTTGGGACAACAGGATATCCTCATGCAAAAGAATGAAGATGGGCCCCTAACACCATGCACAAAAATTAACTCAAAATAATTCACAGACCTATATGTAAGAGCTAAAAATATAAAACTCTTAGAAGAACACATAAGAGTATATTAGGGTTAAGTAGTGGATTAGGTAATGATTAAAGAAACAACAACAAAAAAGTAGATGAACTGGAGTTCATCAAAATGAAAAACTTTAGTGCCGCAAAGGAAATCATTAAAAAAGTGAAAAAAAAACAATCTCCAGAATGGGAGAAAATCTTTGCAAATCATGTGTCTGATAAGGGGCCTGTTTGTAGAATATACTAAGACTCGTTAACTCAATAATCAAAAGACAAATAACCCAATTACAGAATGGGCAAAGGATCTGAAAAGATAGTTCTCCAAAGAAGATATACAAATGGCTGATAAGCACATGAAAAGATGGTCAACCTTATTAGCTATGGGGGGGGTGGAATGCAAATTAAAACCATAGTGAGATATCACTTCACACCCGGGGGCGGGGGTAGCCATAATGGAAGAGACAGATAAGGACACAGGTTAGTAAATGTGAAGAACTCTGAACCCTTATACACCATAGGTGGGAATACAAAATGGTGCAGCCACTTTGGAAAACAGTTTTCTGTTCCTCAGAAGGTTCAACATATAGATACCATTTGACCTAGCATATTTACTCCTAGGTATATGCCCAAGAGAAATGAGAATATATGTCCACAAAAAAATTTGTCATAAAATGTTCATAGCAGCATTATTCATAATAGCCAATTAGTAGAAATAGCCCAAATGTTTATTAACTGATGAATGAGCAAATAAAAGGTGGTATTCATAGGGTGAAATATTACTGGGCAACAAAAAGCAATGAAGTATTGATACATGCTACAACATGGAAAAATCTTAAAATAGCATACAAAACAAAAGATTCCAGTCACAAAAAACTATATATATTGATTCCTTTTATACAAAATGTCCAGAATAGACAAATCTATAGTGACAGAAAGTAGGCTGGTGATTGCCTAAAGCTGAGCGAGGAGGGAATGGGAAGTGTATGGTATGGAAGAGGTATGGAATTTTTCTTCTTAAAATTTTTAATTGTGGTTAAAAAAAAAAAAAGCTACATCAACTAAAATTTACCATTGTAATTGTTTATAAGTGTACAGTTTGGCAATATTAAGTAGATTCACATTATTATAAAATAGATCTCCAGAACTTTTTCATATTGCAAAACTGAAACTACCCTTTAAACAACGTCCCATTTCCTCCTCCCCACAGACGCTGACATGACTATTCTACTTTCTGTGTCTGTGACTTTGACTACTCTAGGTTCTCATGTAAGTGGTATCATACTGTATTTGTCTTTTTGTGACTCGACTTCATGCAGCATAATGATCTTAGCGCTCATCCATACTTTAGCATGTGATAGCATTTCTTTCCTTTTTAAGGCTGAATAATAGTCCACTGTACATTTATATACATACCATGCTTTGTTTACACATTCATCTGTGGACAGACACTGGGTTGCTTCCACTTCTCGGCTATTGTGAATAACGTTGCCATGAACATGGTATACAAATATCCACTCGAGATCCTGCTTCCAATTATTTTAGATATATACTCAAAAGTGGAACTGCTGGATTATGGGGGCATCTCCTTAGAATGACAAAACTATTCTAAAATTTGACAGTGGTGATAGTTGCACAATCCTAGAATAGACTAAAACCCACTAAATTGTACACTTCAAATGGGTTAATCATATGGTATATAAATTATATCTCAATAAAACTGTTAAAAAATACAACTCCTAAAGGCTGAATGGTGGATATAATTACTTAAAGCTTTTGACTGAACTAGATTATTAATCTGGCTAACTAACCTGTCAATCTTGTCATACAGGTAATTTTTGGCTCTAATTTTTGATGACCTGGCTAGATGTTTAGTAGGAGTTTTTTTGAGATGTAACCTAAGTGCTTCTTCAACACTGCTCCATTAGAGAAAAGTAAGAAAAAGAGATTCATAGTATCTTTAATTCAATAATAAACTTTTCATATTTTGTGTCAGGAAATACTGTGAAGAAATAACAAACTCATACTAACTACAGAAATTTTTATTTCATCTGTTTTGTAGCTATGCCATTCACCAGATTCTTAAAAGACAGGGATAAATAAGGCAGGACTTGATTACTCACTTTGACTTCAGGTTTACTTTTTGAAAAGTCACTCACAATGATTTCACCTACAAGATGCTCAAAAGACAGAGTGTTTATTCACCTTATTTTTGCAATACAAAATTATAAAATTATAAAGTCCTAAGTCCAATGTCATTGAATGGGGAAAGAGGTAATAAGTTAAAAGACCAGGAGAGAAAAATCTTGAGAAAAAAAATATGCATCAAATTCAGATTCTTCTCACCTCTAATTGTTATACACAACAAGTAACGCTATCTGCAATACAGATGGCCACTGATACTTAGAAACTCATCTCATCATCTTCTTTTCAGCTTTATCTAGACATTTTCAATCTTGTCAAGATTCAAAGATACACTTTAAGAAAGACAATAAATGAGATAATCTCAAAGATTTCTCATGATCTCTTCTGATCAGAGCAGAGCTAAGTAAAAAAAACCTTACTGGTCTGAGTGATCATTTTTAAAACAATTGACTCTATACAGTTCACAGCAAAAACACCAGTTTGGAGGTCGACTTTCAATTTCAGTCCCTGGCAGAGGCTGAAACAATGTTTATGATCTAATTATACAGATGGTTGTCTTGTTGAGACAGTCCTTCTTTCCAGATTACACATCTTAATACATTTTAACAGCTTTTCCTAAATAATCTCTCAGGGTTGACTTTAAGTGAAGATTGAAATACTAACAATTGGATTCAGATTCTCATTACAGATTTTTCAAAGTCCGTCTGTGCACAGAAGCCAAATTATGCATGGCGACTCGAACAGTTGAGGTCCCCTCAGGGATATCACAGGAATTGATGACCGAATGTAGTGCCCGGGTATACGCTGCAAATAAAGGTTTGCACAGTGAGGAATGAAGCTAGATTCTAAACTACTTACTCTGTCAACCTCCTTCCCATTACTACTGCTTCTCTACAAGTCTCATAGATACTAACTTTTCCTATTCATTGAATAAACACTTATTGAGTACTTAGTACATGTCAAGCACTCTGTGAGGACAGAAAAGATAATGACGAGAATGCACACAAAAATAATTAAATTGCAGTGTTAACACTTTCAAACCAGAGGTCTATGTAAAATATCATCACTGAATGAAATGCAGAATGAATGAAAAAACATCTAGGAAAAGATGGAAAAGATTTCCAGAAGTAGTAACATGTAAGATGGTCTTGAATGATTAATAAGAGTAATCGAAAGGAGGTCTTCTAGGCAGAAAAATATGTGGAGCAAAAGGCATAAAAAAGGCAACATGTACTGGAAATAGCAAGTTTGATAAGGCTGGAGTGTCGCCTGGGGCCAGAGAGAAAATATGCCAAATATGGCATGCATTTTGTACTGTAATGTTGAACCCTCAAGGTTTTAGAACAGAGAAATGGCATGATAAGATTTGTGTTTTTAAAATTTAACTCACAGAATTGATGAGAAACTCGTATCACACGGATGGGGAAGTAGGAATACAAATAGTGGCGGTATTTTGGTGTGTGCATGAAGCCTACATAATCTCTAACTGTGTACATCAATATGTTTAAGGATGGCCAGGAAACAGAAACATCAGTGACAATAAGAAGGACTGTTTTCTCTAGCTGCGATTCCTGAAGATAGTGTTTATACTGGCCCTCATTTTCCTCTGCGTCACCTGGCAGAACTGGACAGTCTAATGTGGATAGAGATGGTAATAAATCTATGTTAAGTAACATTAAAGTATTTGAATAACAGGGAACGCAACTGGACAGATGGCCATAAAACATAAGCCCTAATTTCTTCATTTATAGGAGAACCAGGAAGCCAAGTCTCCCTACAAGTGGAGTAGAAATATTTCCCCAGCATTAATGGAGACAAGAAGATAGCCGATCTCAAAAGGATTATAACTCACTATAATTATTTTTATTGTCCCAGAGTTGTTTTATAAAGGCGTCTCTGATATCAGTCTCTGATATCAATCTCAATAAATGCTAACTTACTATGATCACTACATTTGTTTGTTTGTTTTTTAATTGCCACCAGGCCGTAACCATTCCTTTAAGAAGCTTACCTCTATGGTTTTTATAGAAAATACAATTGTTGGCACAGGTATCAGGATGAGCATCCCAAAAATCAGGACCACAGCAGCATAGTGGAGGTAGAGTAATATTATACAGCCGCATTTTCTCCTGGACCTGGGCTCGCAGAGCTTCTATATATCTATAAAGATACAGTATGGTCAGGCAAAGTGGACCACTAGGAAGAGAATGAGCATGAGTCCTTATCTGATGACCAGCTTTAACCATTAAAACTAGTTCACATCTCTGTGTCTCAACTCTTCCTCTTTGTACTGGGAAACAGCACTGGGGAAAATACAGTGCTATTCCTCTAGAGCCAGGACTTTATGCAGAACTTTTCAAAATACCTTTGGGATTCCTTTTCTCTCTGTTGTTGTTTTTCTCTGACTCCTTTTAGTTCCTCAAGTTTCAGCTGGGCTAATATGTCACTCATCTTCTCCCCTGAATACAGCTCTTCATGAAAGTTCATTCTTAGTATCCTCTGCTCTTCGGCATAACGTTGCTGCTCTTTCTTTTTTTTAATTCTGAGAATAAAATCATAACACGGTTAAGAATTTCATAAAATCACTATTTAAATTAGCTTCTAGACCCAAATAATTCAAGGAATTCCCAGAAACAAGAGAGTCAGGAAATCAGTTTAGCACCCTAGGGTAGCCTTAAAAATTCCTGCTGGCTGACTGAAGGTTATTCTACAGCTCACGTAAATATATAGCCTCTCAAATGACAAGGACCACTGCTTAAGTATAAAAAGGTTTCGCTGTAAGAATACAAGTACAAAAGCTTTCTTACCTTAGACAACCAAATAAATAGATAAATCAACCAACCAACCAACCAGACAAAATACAAAAACAATGGGTTTTATGACTCTGGACATCAGGTGATGAGAGGCAGTGATTCTTGACAGTAAACAAATGAAGTGAGCCCTATTAACTGCCAAAACCTACTGCCTTGTAAGTTTCCAGGCAGCAGCATGAGGTAGGAGTACTGAGGTAGAGCCTGGTAGACTCCCTGAGTCAAGAAGTTGGAGCTGAAGGTCCAGGGACCAAAGGCAACTAGAGTTCATAACAGGGAATACCAAAGAGTGGAGAGCTGTTCAAGAGTGAAAACTTGGAGATCTACTGTGTATCCTTCTGATACACACCAGAGTACTCTGTACCTATTTGAAGAAATAACCTGAGGCTAGGAACAGAATCATCAGTAACAGAATCATGGGTAACAAGGAACAGTGACGAGGCTCACACAGAGCTGGGAATAGTGCCTGTTCCCACCAATCAAACTTGAAAAACTCGTAACACACAGGGCAATGGGCAGAATTTTCAGAATGATCTTACCTCCACAGTGGGGAATGTTGGTTAGTCCTAAACTGAGCACTGTTCCAGACACAAGGTCATAAATTATGAAAGCAAATCCCCAAAGTAATTTAACTGTACCCCAAAAGCTGAGAAAAATTTATAAGAATACAAAGATACCTAGCAACCAACAAGGTAAAATTCACAATGTTTGACATCTAATCAAAGACTACCAAGGATGCAAAGAAGCAGGAAAACTTACTTATTATGAACAGAAAAACCAATCAAAACCAACCTAGAACTGAGTTATTAGAATTAGGACAGGAAAACATTAGAATAGTTATGCCTACATTTTATACGTTCAAAAAGTTAAGATATAAAAAAGACAAATCAAACTTCTCAAGATGAAAACTACAACTTCTGAAATGAAAAACACACTGGAAAACAAGCCTATATTTAATGAAATCAATAACTAATAACCTTTCAAAACAGAAAGCACCAGGCCCACATGGGATCACCAAATAATCATGGAAGAAATTATACCAATTCTCTACAATCTTCCTTCAGAGGACAGAAACAGAATGAGTATTTCTTAGCTCATTTTATGAGGCCAGCACTACCCTAATACCAAAACCGGACAAAGATATTACAGGGAAAGAAAACTAGAGGGGCCCTGGGAGGTTCAGTCAGTTAAGCATCTGCCTTTAGCTCAGGTCATGATCTCAGAGCCCTGGGATCAAGCCCTGCATTGGGCTTCCAGCTTGGCAGGGAGTCTGCTTGTCCTTTTCTCTCTGCCCTCTTCCTGCTTGTATTCTCTCTGTCTCTCTCTCAAATAACTAAATAATAAATAAATAAATAAGTAAACAAACTAGAGACCAATATTTCTCATGAACACAGAGAAAGAAATCCTCAAAAATGTTAGCACATCAAAACTAACAATGTAGAAAAAGAATTATATGCCAAGACCAAGTGGGGTTTATCCCAGGAATGCAAGGCTAATTCACATGGAAAAAAAAATCAATGTAATCTGTCACGTCAACAGGAGAAATAAGAAAAATCACATGCCTTATAAATATACATAGAAAAAGCATCTGACAAAATCCAGCACCATTTATGATACTCTTGGTAAACTAGAAATAAAAGGAACTTTCTAAAGTTGATAAAGGGTATCTACAAAAAACATACAGCTAACATCATACTCAAAGGCGAGAAACTAGACACTTGCCCACTAGGATCAGGAATAAAGCAAGATTTTCTCCTCACCACTTCTTTTTCAACATGATACTGAAAGTCTTAGCCAATGCAATAAGACAAGAAAAGGAAATAAAAGATAATTTGGGAAGGAAAACAATGCTGTGTTTGTTTCCAGATGACATGACAGTCTATGTTCTTCCCAATCTGATCTATAGATTCAATGGAACCTCCCCCCACCCCAAATCCCAATAAGTTATTTTATAGATAGCAACAAAGTTATTCTAAAGTTTTTATGGTGAGGCAAAATTCCCAGAATAGCTAAGATAATACTGAGGGAAAAAAACAAAGTTAGAAGATACATACTACTCAACTTTAAGACTTATTACAAAGCTGCAGTGATCAAGACAGTGTGGTATTGGTGGCAGAATAGACAAATAGAATAGCATGGAACAGAAAGCCCAGAAATAGACCCATCTTAATAGAGTTACTGATCTTTGACAAAGAAGCAAAGGCAATGCAATGGCATGAAGACAGTCTCTTCAACAAATGGTGCAGGAACAACTGAATATCCATGTACAAAAAATGAATCTAGACAAAGACCTTACACTCCTCACAAAACAAAAAGGGTCACAGAATTAACTATAAAATGCAAAACTAAAAAACTCCTAGAAGATAATTTAGGTGAAAATCGACATGATCTTGGGTATGGTGATGACATTTTAGATACATACCAAAGGCATGATCCATAAAAGAAACAATTGATAAGGTAGACTCCATTAAAATCAGAAACTTCTGCTCTGCAAAAGGCACTGTGAGAAGACAAGCCATAGACTGGTAGAAAATATTTGCAAAAGATATCTCATAGAAGACTACTGACCAAATATACAAAGAACTCATAACTCAACAGTAAGAAAACAAACCTGATTTTAAAATGAGCCAAAGGGGCACCTGGGTGGCTTAGAGGATTAAGCTTCTGCCTTCGGCTCAGGTTATGATCTCAGGGTCTGGGATCGAGCCCCACATCGGGCTCTCTGCTCAGTGGGGAGCCTGCTTCCCCCCACCCACACACACACTGCCTGCCTCTCTGCCTCTCTGTCTCTCTCTGTCAAATAAATAAATAAAATTTAAAAAAAAAATGAGCCAAAGACCTGAATAGACATCTCAGCGAAGAATATATAGAGTTGGCCTTGAACAACACGAACTTGAGCTGCATGGATCCACTTACATGTGGATTTTTTTTAATAATATAGTACTGTAAATGTATTTTTTGCTTCTTATGATTTCCTTAATAACATTTTCTTTTTTCTAGCTTATTTTATTTTAAGAATATAGCATATAATACATATAACATATAAAACATGTATTTATCAACTGTTTATGTTATTGTGAAGGCTTCTAGTCACCAACAGGCTATAAGTAGTTAAGTTTGGGGAGAGTCAAAAGTTACAGGTGGATTTCAACAATGTGGAATATTACTGCCCCTAACTCCCACGTTGTTCAAAGGTCATGTGTTTATGGGATCATTCCTTCGTGATGAGTAAGTGAGTGAATTATTGACTCACTGACTGAATGGTGAGGTTACCCTCTAGTGAGCATTAATATGGAAGACAAATATCTTCATATCTTTTGCCTAGAGAAGTCTGTACATCTACATCTTCCCCAGACTTCCTTATCACCAACTTCCCAATAATGGTCAAGTCTCTGACCATCCTGCCAAACCACACCACAGCCCATGGATCAACATGAACTCTCACCTCTGGATAAGCATAAGAGTTTAGGTTGAGTGAACAGTAATATATCTTAGATCACAAAACAGAGTCATAATGGCCCTTCAATCAATTCCCAGACTTGAACCCATTTACAGACCAAGAACCTCTTGGATGAAGTGAAATCCCTGTCCCTTTGAGGAAGGACCTTGCTATACTGCCAAAATTTTATATTGCTATATTTCTTCCCCAAAGGGACCACGATCTACTAGCCAGATGCCACAGTTCTGAGTCAGACAATTGTGATTACTGCTTTGGCTCAATTGTCCAATTATGGTAACCACATCCCTCTTGTCCTGCCACTCTGGAATCCCACTATCCCTACTGCATCAGGGATCCCCATTTGGTGGCTTCACTTCCTACAGAGAAAAGTGACCACAAAACTCTTCAAGGATGTTTAATTTCTCACAGTGGTGATGAAAGGTGTGCCCTCTTGACCCTTCCAGAGTTGGTGAACAGGTCTTACATGATAAGTCCACTCTAACATACCAGTATCCCTAAGCTTTTGGATACCTTTCTCTAAAACATACCACCTACAACAAAGCAGTTCTGGCATTTAACTTCATTTTGTGTAGGCGACCCTTGGGGCCATGGTTTAGTCAACCAACTTCTAACCCCCCCATCTCAAACACTGAATCTGGAGTCACTACTGAGTGGGCCCATACCAATAAATTCTGTCTGATCCAACTTTATATTCTACCCACCATGATCCTATACTTCTATGACCCAGTCTATACATACTCCCCAGTCATCTATTGCATTACAAATCACTCCTACAACTTAATGGCAGAAAACAATAATAAAGACTTATCCCAGTATTTTTGTGGGTCAGGAATGCACACAAGTCACAGTGGAGACAGCTTATCTCTGTTCTATGATGTCCAAAGCCTCAGCTGAGACTCAAATGCTGAGGAGCAAGAATCATCTGAAGGCTTAACCAAGCCTGGAGGTTTCCGGACAGGGTGCATTCATGTGCCTAGCAAGTGCATGCTGGAAGTTGGTTCTTCCTGACATGATCTCCACAGTGTTGCTTGATCTCCTCACAGCAGGGTGTCTGGCTTCCCAGAGTGAGCAATTCAAGGGCCCAAGGTGGAAGCTGCAATTTTTGTTAACGATCTAGCCTGGGAAGTCACACACCATCAATTTGCAATATCCTATTGGTCACATGGATCAGCCCTCTTCATTGTGTGTGTGCACAATACAAAGGTGTGGATACCAAGAGATGCCAATCGTTAGGGGTTACCTTGGAGGCTGGGTGCCACACCTGGCATGACA